GAAATCCAAGCCCTAGTTATAATATTATAAATGGTTACAGTTTTTTTTTTATATTTAAATAATATTATATATTATGAGATGGCCATGTTAATTATAAAATAAAAATTATCACTGGTATTGTAGAATTAAATGTATAATATTAGTTTGATGAGCGATTTTTCAGTTTGGTAATAATAAACATTGAAAGCGAAGTATCAAATCAGTTTAAAGCTGAGGATATACTAATTAAGTATGCTAAGACCAATAAAAGGTTACAATTATAATTTATTATTTATTTTAATTGATATATAGGTATAATAAAATAAATTAATAAATTTATTACTATGTTGTTAAAATTATGTTATTATAAGTCACACCCCTATACTTGAAATTTGTGGTAGGTCGACCGTAATAATGAAGATAAAAAAATGTAATCAGATTATGAAGTAATATTATAAGGTAAGATATGAATGGTGATTGGTGGGGAGGGGGCAAAGCCCCCCACTGTTCTGCTTGCTTTTAATATATTCAGCCTCCCCAAGTCAAAAGTTAAAATTGCACCTATGTCTTACACTATATCATATATACCTACTCGGTAATAAGGATCGTAAGCAACAAAAATAGTTGAAATTATACTCGTAGTTTTGAATAATCTTACCGTCTAAAGCAAATAATAAAATATATTTGTATATTATAGAAATGTTAAATTGATTAAAGATTTCAAGTATCCTAATCAGTTAAATATACGTTTCTGAACTTCCAATGGGAAATTATAAGTCTACGGTTTGAGTGTAATATTAAAATGTTCTTGAAAGCCTTTTTAAAAAAATGAATAGAAATCTTAGGCAAGTAAGTCATTGGTGGTTCAAAGTTCCTTTAAATCAAATATTTCTGCATTTTATAGAGGTTAATAGGACGTCAGAAACAATTTTGGGATAGAGTGAGTTCAATAATTGATTTTTGAACTGTGAAAGAGTGAATATCCTTTTGTTAAAAAACTCACTACGCTAAATTAATTAAATCTACAAAATGATTTTATGGTTATATTGCAAGAAAACTTGAATGGACAAACATTTTAGTTTAAAACTTATATTTTTTCTTTTATTATAAAAATAAATAAAATCATAATTTTAAATTTAAATCAAAGTAAAGACATGGACCATGAAAAGATCTTATAGAAATACCGAATAATAAAAATTGAGAATTCATAAAAAATACATTTCGAATGGTCACAGGTCGTTGTATTAGAAGTGTTATGATCTATAAGCTACTGTGAGAGGGTGTGTTATAAGGCTTTATTATCCTTCTTTACTGTGTACGTTTGTATATAATGTGCAAAATAACACAATCAAGTTACATGGATCATTAAGATTAAGCTACAGAATAATATCTCATTTCCTATAGCTTAGTATAAATACAACTCATAAATATAAATGCCATCTATATATATATATATATATATATATGACTTATATATTATATAAATTATTCTGGTATTCATGAGGATTCAGTTCCTAAGTTCACTCTATAAAAATATTGGAAAATTAAGAAAATTAAGTACCTATATTTAATTTATTCTCATATGATTTAACGAATTAGCAATCTATTCTTTATATTTTTTTAGTTAAACATTGCATATATACATGGTGATAAATGAATAATTTATAATTCTATTCTTACTCTACTCAAATTTTTATTTTATAGATTTATAATCTATAGAAGATATGAATATTTACTGAATTATAACTGATAATTGATAAAAAATTTAGGTCAATAGCGATGACCATATTATTAAAATTACATATAATTAATATTGTTATTATTTAGCTCGTGATTTCTTGTATACTAAAGACTGGCTATAAAGATTTCGAAACAAAATATATTATAGTCTTCGATTTACATACATTTTAATAATATTTTTTGTAAATGAATTAAGTAGATTGTTAATTAATTTAACTAGAAAATGTTCCATAACCTCTAATCTTTCTTAAACTTTTTCGAAAATATATAAATATTTTTAAAATATTTATCATAAAAATATACATTGATAATTGGTAGAAAAATAAAATAACATAAATTAAATCGACGATTGACAAGAAAATACAGGTTTTTATAGGTGTTTAAGATAAATAAGATAAAGTGACTACAATAACCTATTAAGAGGATGTCACACCTACATTTTTCGTCTCTGCATCTATCTCAAAGGCAATACAGTAAAATAAAAGTTTCTTATCACTTCAACTGTGGCATGTAATTTAAAATAATTATATATATGAACAAATATAATGAGGAGAATATTTTTGTGGGATTTTGGCACATTGTTAAATACTGATCAATAGAGAATTTTTAGTTATGTAAATAGAAATAATTTTGTTTAACGATTTTATTGTTTTAGATATTTTACAAAAAAAAAAAAAAAGAAATTTTTGAAAATATTTTAATTGTTTATTTAATTTAAATGTACATTTCTTAAATTTTAATTAAAATTTGTGCATAGATAGATTTTACGTGATATATTAGCCAATTATTAAAATGATTAGTCGGGCGTGTATATTATTTTAATACTGTATAAAGTACATTTAATGAAATAATTATTAAATAAAGATTAACGAGGGCTTACAAGAACTTTGTAAAAGTATACGTATGTATGGAATTAAATTAAATTATATCTACATAATATAATACATACATATATATATATATATATATATATTTATATTATAAAGTTTAGATTAGAAGGTCGTTTAATTAGTGCCGAGTAGTAGATTATCAGAACCTTGAATATTAAACAAAATTGATGCGATAGAAAACAGTATTAATGAATTACAGTCGAGTATAGCAGTATAGGAAAATGGTATAGAGATTGCCGTTCAATTTATATCAGTCCAAGAATAAAAGCTTTAAAACACGTTTTCCAAGACAGCTTATGTTATTTAAGATGATCCACTCCAATAATAAACTTCTTAAATTTATTAATTGAGTATTGATATAAGTAATGTTTAATTACTCAATACACAGATGGTACGATTATTTTTAATTTATTGATAAATAATACTTAATTAAACTTTTATTGTATTTTTCAGTTCTCATTTTTTTTGTTTGATTTAATTGGTACATTATAATTTATTATTAATACTTTTAATAACATATACATCTAAGTACTTGGAGATGAATATACCTTTGAAATGCTTATTTTATTCTAATTTACTAACTTCATTTTATATTGACTTAGAATTTGATAATACATTCTACAACACCTCAAATGTAACAATTTAGAATAATAAATAAACATCAACATAACTTCTAAATAATTTTAATGTATGTACATATAATATATATTCAATTACTATCATCAATCATTATCATAAATTCCAAAACCCTACGTTTATGTGCCGGTATACGATTGTACGGACACTTATAAAATATCAAGGCATGTTTTCAAAAACTATGAATGAAAAAAATGTACTATGATATAATATAACCTTAGTGGCTGTTATCAATTATACAAATATCGTATGAACAAAAATGAGTTCATTGTCAATCATACAAATCGTTTTGAAATTAAAATAGCATTGTTTTGTCTTCAAGCGTTTTAGATAAGAATTTCATTACATATATATCCGAAAAATAATTCAAACCATATTATGCTAAATTAAAGATATTCAATTTGACCTTCATACATTTTTTCTTGGAATATTATATGTAGAGTTTGATTAAGCACATAAGCAGGCAGTGACATAGTGAGAACTTTTTGATGCAATGTTTTTAAATTATTACCAAAGAGAAAACAATTTTTTAATTGGGTTCGAATCAAAAACCCGTTGGAAAATATTTAAATAATATTCATAAAAAAAATTTAAGCATAAGTTAGTTAAGAAAATGTAATTAATTTGTTTATTTATAATACAAATACATGTTTGGATTAAATAAATAATGTGTGGTCGAAAACCTAACATCTGTTTCACCAACCCACTACTACTAAAAATATACAACACAAAACAATCTTCACACCACCACCTGGGTACAACTTATGTCCCACGATTAGTATAATCTTATTATACTCGTATACTCGTCGACGGAGAGCAACGAAATACGACATCAACTCGGAAATTGTGTACACGTTCTCGTGTTTGGATTTAGTTTTTTCGGTGATTGCGATTTATTTCATTTGAAATCATCACCCGTGGTCGAGGTGTTTTCTTATCGGAATACAACAATCAATTGAGGTGTCTACCGAGAAAATGTGAACGAATATCATTGATATCAAATCACCGTTAAATACAGTACAGCTAGCACATGAATGTGTCATAACATTAAGACACGAATTCCAATGGAACGTGTTTGAACAATCAAGGGTCAGGATTAACAATTTCCGGGTGTTTGCAACGTCGATTCGTAACATTTTGACACGGATACGAACTCGGCGGGCGAAAAGCTCGAGAAAAACGGCGAACTTTACGAATTATAAAGCTGCTTATGGACCATATGGCGGCGCGTTTTTTAATGAGCGAAAAAAAAAAACAAAATTCTTTACCAACGTACACATTTCTCGGCCGCCCGTTGGGAAGGAAGAGCAGATACAAAGAATATGATATTATTGTGTTGCGGTGGCGGCGGGCGGCGAGAGATGACGAGCGCCGTCGCCGTTCAAGGGGGACTACTAATCGCGCGGCGTGGGCATTTCACGACGTATACGCTCAACCGGTTTTCCGTCGACGCCGTCGAGACCAACGGCAATGTCGCGACACGGTCGCTTGACGCACACATGTTCGACAACGGCAACGGTTTTCCGGAACGGACGCGTTTTGCTAAAGCGACGGGACGACGCGGCAGCGGTCCGGAAAACCGCGGTAATGGTACGGGTATAAATGGAACCTCAGACGTCGCCGACCGGTTTGAAATGAAGGTCGGCGCCGGCGAGTTTGAGAACCAATGGTCGGACGCGACGTCCTTGGAATGTAAGGTAAGATAATAAAAAAAAAAAAATTAATAAAAAATAGTAGTGATGCGAAAAAATTTACTCTCGAGCTTGGGACCAAATTCCGCCGCTGGGTCCTGTTCTTCCGCCGTGGACCTGATGACGACGCCTCTATGTTTGTCCACGTGGCCGGCGAACACGGACATATTTCTGATAACAGACAATAGAGAAGGACGAGTGATCGGAGAGAAAATCGTTTGAGATCTTTGCCGAAAAATTACCTGACGATGGTGGTCGCGAACAAGAGCCCCGATCGTCTGGAAACCATGCGAGCGGCCGCGGCTGCTGCCGTGCGCGAGTCCGTGCACGTTTTAACCTGTTGCCCGCGTGCGAAAAGGGACGGCGGAATAGGCAGCGGTGGCGGTGACGACCAGGAAGATGGAACGAGAGAGAGAGAGAGAGAACGAGTGAGAGAGCGTGAGTGACGGAGCGAGAGTGTAAGCAAGAGACGGTGGCCAGAGAGCGAGACACCGGGTGAGAGAGAGAAGGAATGGACAACGGGTAGGGGCTATGAACGTGAAAGATCCCGTTCCGCGAACACGACGAGCGAGTGAGAGAGAGCGAGCGAGATGCGTGCGCGCGTATACGTAAGTATACGAACGTGTACGTGAAAAAGGGAAAGAATGTGCCGGGTAGTCGTACGCTGCCGGCGTGTGGGTGGGAGCGAGGTGGCGGGGCACGCGGCGGCGGCGGCGGCGGTTGCCGGTTGCAACAGCGCCGCCGACTGGTCGATAAAGCTGAGAAATTTGTGGGCGCTGACAGTGCGGGCCCGCCGGAGCACAGTCGACCGGTGTGCTGCGCGTGTGAGTGGAACGAGAGCCCCGCGCGCGCCCGTGTGTGTGAGCCCGTGTGTGTGCGTGCCTATGTGTGCGTGGCGCGACCGTGTTTTTTCGTCCGTAGAATCCGGCCAGCTGCTGCAGTGTGCGTGTGTACCGGTGCGTGCGTGCGTGTGTGTGCGCGCTCGTGTACGTCAGTGTGTGCGCGCGCGCGCGTTTGTGTACAGTGTCTGTGCGTTATCCGCCTCCGGTAATTCGACTCCTTCAGTCTATTCAATAATATTGTTGTTGTCGCACACTCGCCGCGCGAACGCGGTCACAGCAAAACATAGTTTATATATTATTATTTTTTTTTTTTTTTTATTCATTTTTTTTCATTTTTATAAATCGTTTTCCGCGTAATTTTATTTCATTTATCTGTTTGTTTGTATTTTTTTTTCCGAATCGAACCGTGTGTGTGTGTGTGTGTGTGTTATTGTTACATCCGTTTTTGTTCTTCGGCGTTTCGCCCCGGCGTCCGTCCGTCCGTCCGTGTGCGCCGCTCGTGTTGTTTTTTTTTTTTTTTTTTAATTGTTTTTATTTCTCGTCCGTCCGTCGCAACCACGACCGCCGTCGTGCGAAACAATATGGTTTACCGACGGGGAAAGTGAGACGATGATGTCGTTCTGTGTTCCGAGCTCCGCGCCACCACCGCTCGTGACGGCCGAGGAAATATAACGGGAACGGGTCGTCGCCGTCGTGATCGATCGTAGATCGGTTCGAGTACACGTGAACACGACGAGCGATGCTGCCGAACGCAGCGGCGTTACCGATAACAATAATTTACCGTTGCCGTTGTTTTTCGCCGACCGCGTAGTGGAGTACAAGTCCGCAGCCTGCCTAGCTGGCACAGCATTTTCGCGTGTGCGATCCATATCGTGTTTTTTACGTCGCCGACCACCATGCCTTGATACGGACGCCGCACGCCATGCCGCCGTTCTCTAAACACAAGGTACGTATCACCCGTGGTCCGTCCACGTCGCCCTATCTCGCCCTGGACCGGGTCCCCGACTCGTGGGTAGCACGACGGGAGAACTAAAAATCAGTGCATTTTTTAAGGGATTTTCACTGGGCGACAAAAAAATGTTAAAACTCGAAGCAGTCAACGTATAATACCACAGTATAATGATAGTAAGATTTATATGATGAATCATTGATGATATTTCACGTCCGCTTCGCATTATTTTGACCAATCTTTCAAAATATTACCTACAGAATATAATCGCTGGGCGACATTTGTGTCGCCTAGTTAACTGTTTAAAAAAATGCACTGGTAAAAATATTGTGTACAGTAGTGCGATTAAAAACATTTTACCAACTAGTAGAATTATTGTATTAGCCATGTATCCGGTTAATTAGCAATGTTCATTGATAGATCTTATTCATATACATATATATATATATATTGTATGTTATCTTTTTTCGTCTAATCTCGTGCATCATTTCATTCTATTTAATTCATTCCAAAGCCTATATTATATATTTATTAATTTTTTTTGTTTGAATTGTTTAGTTATATTGTGTAATATGTAATGTGTTCGATAGTTAATAGGTTATGAGTTGTCTAAATACCATTTTTAAACTTGGTTAGTATTGATTAAATTTAACTAGGTAGTCGAGTAAACTACAATTCGGAATTCTCTATGAATTTACAATTAAATTTCCTCTTTAGTACTAATACTTATGTTGTTGTGATAGGTATGTATTATGTTTGAATTTTCATATACCTACTTAACATATTTTATAAATAGTACTGCAGCAAGTTTCTATGGTTAATAAGGTATAAGTTTCAATTTCCTTATTCATTTCTCTACCTAATTATTTTATAGCGTTTTAAAATGATTTAGAATGTGTTTGAAATTCTTTTAATTAATTAAACCAAGATTTTAAAATAGTTTAAATATACTACTTTAGGTACTTACTATTTTTTTTGGTTAGATAACTTATTATGCTTAACATAAATAAATATAATGTTAGTTTAATGTTTTGTTCATTGTTATAATCCAATTATATTATAATAAACCTTAAAATATGTTATCTACTTAATTATGAAAGTGAAAACACATTACTTTGGTATATTATAATTAAAACTTTATTAAATTTAACTGTTATGCATAAAGAATAAGAGTAACATAAATTCTGAAAACCGATTAATTATTTATCTTGGAATTTGTCATAATTTATAAGGGTTATTTTACTTAACTAAGAAAAAATACATAGTTACTTATAATAATTCAGTATTTTATTCTTTGAGTTGATTTAATATGTAATATTATATTAAATACGTATTATCTTTTATATAAAAATATATTTTGGTGTACAGTAACACTTCTGTTAACAGCCGGCTCTAAAATACTGCCACATCAAATGTTAATCTAAAAATTTAATAATAGCTCTGTAATTCTGTAAGCATTCTGAATAAAAATCACATACATATATTATACTTATATATAATCAAGGGATAAACCACTATAAAAAATTATATACACTAGATTATTGATTATCAAAATTATAGAATGATTATCAAGTTTATTGAATGATAATCATGTGATTTATCAAATTATTAGCATGATTATAAAATACTGAGAAGTTAACCAAAAATTAACATCAATTATACATGATTATCCAAAACCTTAACTATTATTATACGACTATTACATTGCGTAGGTAAGGGGGTCAAAACTACGTGAAATCCAACTTAGACTATAGATTCACAATATACGCAATAGTTTCCTTCAAGGTTTCCTTTATGGTGTATGAATCTATTTGAGGATATATTATAGTAAATTAATTTGAAACATTTACTTAATATTAATACTACATAGTAGTACTATATTTTATTAAAAAAAAAAAAACCTTATCTCTTTACTTATCATTTATATTTTTATTCTTAACAATAGGTAGGTACTAACATTATTAAATATATTTACTTTGACAACTGAATAGTTTTGATTTTAACAAAGATTATGCTAGATAGATAATTCAAACTATTCAAACATATTAAAATCCAATCATTATTTTATATTACTATTAAATTCTGTAACAAATCAATCAACTTTTTATTAACTAATAAATATAAAATTTATTATAAAGTATAGTACCTATTTCGTAATGCCCAGTTATTTTTTTCATTCTTTTTTTTAATGTTATCAATTTTTCTTGCATTGTATTAATTTCTTATTTTAATGTTTCGTTTTTCTAGGATTTTTTAGTTATAGTATTTAAAAACCTTCTAAGTTGATCCGATCAACTTGATCGTTACTTACTCTTCAAGTTTTATTATCAACTATAATTCCTTTAAATAATTTGATAATATAAAAAATGAATTATGATTATCAAAGATTATCGTAATTATCACAAGATTATCATGCTTATCTAAAAAAAAAAAAAATCTAAATTTTGAACCATGATGATTACAGTGATTTACCCCTCGTTTATAATACTCAATATAATATGTCAAAAATAGAAAAAAAATTGATTTTTGTTTTTTATTATTTATGAAAGTTTATATGTAGTTATCATATATATATATATATTGTTATCACATTTCTTTTTTTATTACAAGTAAGTATATATAATTATAATTGAGGTAATAATAAAATGTTACTATTAAATAATATTGGAGTGTTACATGTCTTAAATACATTTTTTAGTAAGATAAACTAAACTTTTTTTTGAGTATTTTAAGTTTTTAAGTATTAACACATATTAAATTACTAATTATTAATTTTACATTTAATAAACCTTATTTATACATGTATTCATAAATCATAATCAAGGTTGTATACTTACCTACTTGACTAGAGTTTGGATTTTATTGATTAAATAAATTATCTAAAATAATTCATTCAACTTATTTTATTAAATATAGGTGTTTAAAATGTTGTTATTTACGTGGTTGCTTATGTTGCAAAAGTAAATCAAAATGTTGTTAAAATCTTTTAGATTAAAAACAAATTGTAAAATTAAGAATTAATTGATTATATGAAGCTAATTTTTACTACTAAATATTATAAAAAAAAAAAAAGGATCTATCGATCGATCGCTGACGATTTCAGAGTTGATCATGTTAGAATTTATTTTTAGGCCACGTTCATGAAAATTAATCGTGGTGATTATGAACAAATATTTGATAAGTTTTATCTGTATATTATATTATTTTTAGTAATTAGTTTATAATACTTTATGTATGTTTATATACACTTTCAGCAAGTATGTTTCTTAATAATTATAATTATTTAATAATAAAAAAAATTTTCCAAGAAAGTCGATCTTCAAAGGTGAAGTATATTCTCAGTAGATTGTGGCCGAAAAAAGTTTGACTGCCTCTGTTCTAGACTAATATTTTTGAAATAATTTTTTTTTTATAAGAAAAATTAGGTAGTATGAAATTTTATTATTTTATTTTTCATATACCTGTCAAAAAATTGTAAGAAATATACTTTTGCATTTTAAGCAATGTGCTGTAATAAAATATTTTTATAATTTCTTATCAAACTTTAAATTATTAAAAATATTTAAGAATTCAATACAAATTATTACTAAGTTATTATATAGATTTAAGTTTATCATATCATTTTTATGCATAAGCAGTCATAAAAAAAAAAAAAAACTTAAAACTAAAATATGCATTGATTTGTTTTAACATAAAAAAAATTGATAAAAATGTTAAGCTAATATGATATTTTTACTTATGATAGAATTATAGGCAACAATTACATTTTTTTAAATTTAACTTAATTGCAAATATAATTGAACTATAATTTAATACTTGATTTGGGCTAGGTTATTTTCAATTTTAAATTTTTATTTTTTATCATATATTGTTGTAAATATAATTCATAGAACTACATAGAGTGAATCATTAATCTGATATTCTATTATTTTTTTTGTATAAATATCTTCATAAATGTCTTAATTACTTTTTTATTTCATAGCTGTGATATCAGTTACTTACTTACTCTTTTTAAAAATTTTAAAAAACTAGTTATACATATTTTATAAAAAATATATAGAAAGCTATTAATTTTTAAATTTTATTATATAAGTATATTATACCTACCTTAATTTTAAGGTTTTTAAAATCTTTATTTAAAAAAAAATATTAAATATTGGTAGAATCATTTTATTCAAAATAATAGTAGTTAAAAAGTAAACCATAATAATATATATACTATAAATTTATTTATTTTACAATTTTACCTACTATTTATTAATAATAATTTGAATAATTTATATTTATTTATTACTCATCACCCTTGATATTATTATGATAATTAGAGAAATTAGAGAAATTAGAGTTGGGAAGTATATTTTTAAACTGATATCAAAACAATGAAGGTACATTGTACTATGTCTTAATAATACATTCACACATATTGTCATATCTGTTTCTTGACAAGCTACTTTATGATAGTAACTATGACCCTGATATTATTTTATGTGTACATATATTTTTAAATTATCTGATTAAATAAGCTATACATTTAATAAACAATGCATTATTATATAAGTATTTAACAAATGTTATGTTATTTTGCTTAGTAAAATAATTAGAAATAAAATAAAAATAAACTAATGGTTAACCTAGAGTATTATTATATTTGTAAAGTACAAGTAATTTTGAATTAAAAATTCATCATCAGGTAAATACAGGTATATACAAAGTTAATAATTAATTAAAGTTAAACTATTTGTTTATTTATTTTTATATTGATTATTTTGGTTTTGATCAACATTTTAACCATTAATATTAGATGTGTGAGTTTTTTCTTTTTAATTTGGTAAAAATTGTAGATAGAAAATAATAACAGATTTTTTTCAGAGATTTTATAATGTTCAATTCACTTTTTACATTTTAATTCTGTTAAAAATATATTTTTAAAATAATAAATTAATATTTTATAGACATAATGCGTTTGAATATATTTAAACGACTTAAAAGGAATAGCTGGTTAAAGTTCAGTTCTAGCTATACAAATAATGATATTATAATAAATACTTAGTAAAGTAATAACAAATAATTTTAATCAAAATGAAAATATTTTTGTTTTAGGAATAGATTTCTATACGGCCATCTATCAACATATGTCTTCCATATTCCCATGTACTGGAAAACCCAGACGGCAGAATACAATGCAGATTCCCCACCATCAACTGTGGGTAATACTTTTCTATTTGGCATGCCTAAATGTAAGTTATGGTAATTCCAATATAATAAAAATATTCGAAGATGATGAATCAACACCTATGTTCAATAACCTTGTTGTTGACAAGAATACTGGGCGCCTATTCGTGGGTGCTGTAAATCATCTTTATCAACTTACACCTGATCTCAATGTAACCAATCAAGTGGTTACGGGCCCCATTGAAGATTCATTCGAATGTGGGGCCAATGTATGTCCTAACTCAACCATTAAAAGCTTAACTGACAATGTAAATAAAGTACTTGTCATTGATTATTCTACATCTAGGATAATCACTTGTGGATCAGTTTCACAAGGCATGTGCACAGTTCAAAATTTAAATAACATATCTGATACAGTACAATTAGTTAAAGAAGCCGTGGTTGCCAATAATTTGGAAGCATCGACTGTTGCTTTTATAGCACCAGGACCTCCAAATCCACCCATGACTCAAGTCATGTATATTGGAGTCACATTTACTGGCAATTCTCCTTACCGTTCTGATGTTCCAGCTATTGCCTCTAGAAGCTTAGATAGTCAAAATATGTTAAATATTGCTTACCTTGGAGTGATTTCTGGTACACGAGTATTTGTTAATACTTTAAACCGTGAGCGTTATCTCATAAATTACATTTATGGTTTTAGTTCTGAAACTTTCAGTTACTTTTTAACTACACAAATGCGTAGTGCAACGTCGCCATCCCCATACATATCTAAAATGGTTAGATTATGTCACGAAGATAAAAGTTATTATTCCTACACAGAAATTCCACTAGAATGCACTAGTAAAGAACAGTCATATAATTTAGTGCAAGCTGGTTATGTTGGAAAAATTGGCTCAGACTTGGCTACAGATCTAGGTATTACACCGCAAGATGATGTTTTATTTGCTGTATTTTCAGGTAGTAACCAGAGTGAAAGCGAATTGAAAAATAAACCTAATGACCAAAGTGCACTGTGTGTTTATTCATTAAAAGCTATAAGAAGAAAATTTTTACAAAATATCAACGCATGCTTTAGTGGTAAAGGAAATCGAGGTTTGGACTTCATTTCTCCAAGCCATATATGTGTTGGAACTAAACTTCAAACAATAACCGAAGACTTTTGTGGTATGGATGTTAACACCCCCTTAGGAGGAGATTCACCTATGACTGCTATTCCAGTATTAACATTCAATACTCGTCTAACTGCTGTGACTGCAACATCAACAGGTGACTTTACTGTTGTGTTTGTTGGAACCAATAATGGTCATGTTAAGAAAATAGTAGTTGAGAGTTCTGTAAAAGCTATTGAATATGGAGATATTGTTATTCAAGAGAATTCTCCAGTCAATCCAGATTTAATTGTTGATCCTCAACAAATGCATTTATATGCAATGACTAAAAATAGAGTTTCTATGATAAAAGTTCAAGAATGTCATATGTACTCTTCATGTTTAGATTGCTTAGCTGCCAAAGACCCTTACTGTGGGTGGTGTTCATTAGAGAATAAGTGTAGTTTACGCTCAAATTGTGAAGATGCAGCAAATGACCCATTGTATTGGATACCTTATAAAAGTGGGAAATGTACTACAATAGCTTCTGTTACTCCAAATCAACTCCAAAAAACTACTGCACGAACATTAGAACTAGTCATTGATAATTTGCCATTACTGGAAGGACCATTCCACTGTGCATTTTCAGTATTTGATAAAGTATTAATCACTAATGCTACAAGAAAATCTTTTGGTGTAAATTGTACAACACCACGAACAGATTTACTACCATTCATACCTTCTAACCAACATCATTTTACTACTAAGTTATCTGTTAAAACGGCAAAAGGACCTAACTTTGTAGCCACTAATTTCACATTCTTTGATTGTAGTACTTATACATCATGTACACAATGTGTCAATTCTTCTTTCCCATGCGATTGGTGCGCAGAAGCTCATAGATGTACGCACGATACCGCAGAAAATTGTAGAAATGACATTTTAGTAACTGGTGTAAATCGAGTTGGTCCAAGTTTCAGAAGTGGTCCATCATTTTGTCCAACAATCAATGGATCTGATACAGGAAGTACAGAAATTTTAGTACCTTCTGGTATTAAAAAATCAATTAGAGTTAAAGTTCACATAATTGGTCAATTTATTGCTCAAACACGTTTTGTATGCCAATTTAATATCGAAGGTCGTGTTTCAAGTGTAAATGCGGCATTAGTAGCTGACACTATATATTGTGAAACAATGGAATTCAGTTATAACTCGCATTTCTCAAATATAACTGCAACTTTTGCTGTGATTTGGGGTGGATCAAAACCATTAGATAATCCCCATGACATTCATGTTGTAATATATAGATGTAGTGATATGGCAGATGATTGTGGTATGTGTTTAGCATTGCCTGAAAAATATAGATGTGGGTGGTGTCAAACAAGTAATAGTTGTGAAGTTATAGATCAGTGTGACAGGGCAGTTGGTATATGGCTTAATCGAAACAAAACTTGCCCTAATCTGCAAATTACATCATTTTGGCCACTTGCTGGACCATGGGAAGGTCATACTAATATTACAATTATTGGAAAAAATTTAGGAAAAAGTTTCAATGATATATATAGTGGTGTTACTGTTGCTGGACTTCGGTGTGCTCCATATGCACATCTTTATGAAACAACGAGAAAAATAGTGTGCAGAGTTGATGGACCTGGAAGTGAAGATATAAGAGAAGGCCCTATCGTAGTTCAAGTTGAAGGGTATAGAGGTGAATCAAAAACAAATTATCATTTTGTTGATCCCATCATTACTAGTTTATATCCTGTTTTTGGTCCTAAATCTGGCGGGACTACTCTGAAAATTGTTGGAAAATTCATGAATGCCGGAAGTAATATTCAAGTATTTTTCGAAGATACTTTACCATGCATTGTTATCAATAGTACCTTAACTGAAACTACTTGTATCACCAGTGCTTCTGATACTCAAAAAGTTGGAAAATTTAAAATGTTCTTTGATAAATCTGAAAGGAATTTTGACCGACAAACATACGAGTACACTGATGATCCAAGTGTTGAGTCAGTTGAATCTGGTGCTCCAGGTCAAGTTAAAGTGCCTAAAGGCATTGTATCTGGTGGTATAAAAGTTTCTGTTAATGGTAAAAATTTTGCGTTTGTCCAAGCTCCTCGTTTGTATGTCTATTACATGAATAATATCTATTTCGGTAATTGTTTTGTGTTAAGTAATTCTAATTTGATTTGCGAGTCTCCAAAAGTTACTCCACTTCAACGAAATCAACCAGATCCTGACAAACCTATTGAATTAGACTATGGATTTGAAATGGATAATGTGACAGATGTTCAAAATATATCAATGAAGGTAGGATTTCCTAAATTCATGCTTTTCCCAGATCCGTTATATACAAAATTCGACGAAGACATTAAATTTTATAAAAGCGATTATTTAACTATAAATGGTCATCACTTGGATCGAGCTTGCCAAGAAACTGACGTTACAGTGCAAATTGGGACAAGTTACTGTAACGTGACTTCTTTGTCTCGGCATCAACTTACTTGTAGACCTCCACCCATACAACCACAAGCTATGCAAGATCCAGATTATCGATTATCCAACTCTCAAGAACTTCCAGAAGTAATTGTAACAGTTGGTTCAAATCTAAAGTTTAATATTGGTAAACTCAGTTACGCTCCATCTGGAGTTAATAGTCCACTAACAAAACCGGCTCTTTTTGGTGGTATTATTGGCATGGCTATAATTTTTATTATTTTTGTTGCATTTTTAATTGCGTATCGCCGTAAATCAACTGAAAGTAGTCGTGTCTTAAAAAATATGCAAGAACAGATGGATATATTGGAATTAAGAGTAGCAGCTGAATGTAAAGAAGCATTTGCTGAACTCCAAACAGAAATTACAGATATTGCTGGGGATCTTACTTCTGGTGGTATTCCATTTTTGGATTATCGTACATATTCAATGAAAATTTTGTTCCCGAATATGGAAGATCATGGAGTCCTCCAGCGAGAAAAACCAGAATTAATTCGAAAAGAAAAAGGCATTCGTTTATTTGGTCAATTAATATTAAACAAAACTTTTTTGTTATTATTTATTAGAACTTTGGAAAGTAATCGATATTTTTCAATGAGAGATCGGGTGAATGTAGCTTCTTTGATTATGGTGTCACTGCAGAGTAAAATGGAATACTGTACTGATATACTAAAAACTTTACTTGCTGAACTTATTGAAAAATGTATGGAAGGTAACAGCCATCCAAAGTTACTTTTGAGACGCACAGAAAGTGTTGCGGAAAAAATGTTGTCATCATGGTTTACGTTTCTATTGTATAAATTTTTAAGAGAATGTGCAGGAGAACCTTTATATTTATTATTCAGAGCAATGAAACAACAAGTGGATAAAGGGCCGGTTGATGCAATCACCTCGGAAGCAAGATATTCGCTGAGTGAAGAGAAATTAATCAGACAATCAATAGATTTTGTTCCTATGACCGTGTATGTTTCTATTTCTCAACAGACTGCTTTTGTCACTGGACTGGATCCAAACACTGAAAATATACCAGTTAAAGTTTTAGATTGTGATACAATTTCACAAGTAAAAGAAAAAGCTCTGGATACTATTTATAGGGCGATGCCTTGTAGTCAACGTCCTCGGACCTGTGAACTTGATGTAGAATGGAGAACCGGCACTTCTGGTCGATTAATTCTTTATGATGAAGACTCGACAACAAAAGTGGAAGGCGAATGGAAGAAACGTAACACTCTGCATCATTATATGGTACCAGATGGCGCATACCTGAATTTAGTATCTGTCAAGCAAATGTCAACCTACAATTTATCAATACTCTCAGATCGAATGGATAAACATAAATATGAAACCTTAAATTTAACGAAATTTAACTATGATAGCCCACCATATAGTAGGGCCACATCACCGTTAAATAATGATCAGGATGGTGGTCTTAAGTGTTGGCATTTAGTTAAACATCACGATAATGATGCACAAAAAGAAGGGGAACGTGGTAATAAAATGGTTTCAGAAATATATCTTACGCGTTTGTTAGCCACCAAAGGTACTCTACAAAAGTTTGTTGATGATTTATTCGAAACTATTTTTAGTACTGCACACAGAGGAAGTGCTCTACCTTTGGCTATTAAATACATGTTTGATTTCCTTGACGATCAAGCAATTCAACACGGTATTACTGACCACGAAGTCGTACATACGTGGAAAAGCAACAGTCTTCCATTGCGTTTTTGGGTGAACTTGATCAAAAATCCTAACTTCGTGTTTGATATCCATAAGTCCAATATTGTCGACTCATGCCTGTCAGTCGTTGCTCAAACGTTTATGGATTCGTGTTCAACGTCTGATCATCGACTTGGCAAAGATTCTCCAAGCTCAAAATTATTGTACGCTAAAGACATTCCGGTGTATAAAGATTGGGTGGAACGTTACTACTCAGATATCAAAATTATGCCAGCCATATCGGATCAAGACATGAACGCTATGCTTGCTGAAGAGTCAAGGATACACATGACAGAATTTAATACGAACTGTGCTTTGTATGAACTCTACATGTATGCTGCCAAATACAACGAGCAGTTAATGGTCACTCTGGAAGAAGACGAGTTTTCCCAGAAACAACGGCTAGCGTACAAATTGGAACAAGTACACAATTTTATGATGGTAGAGAAATAATTTAAGGACCATTAATCAAAAAACGGATTGGATTATTGCTCAATATCGAGTATGAGTGATTCAATGGGTTTCGCTTATTTTATAGCGATTTTATACATTGTGGTATGTAGACTGTAAGATGTTTTTTTTAACAAACAAAAAATAAAAAATATGTAATAATTAATAAGTTTTTAAACAAATTTATAAATGGTAGAAATAAGACGTTTTATATAGATAAGATAAACATAAATACGCATACAATTATAGTAATAAATTAACATATCTATTGCCTAGTTCTTGCCAATAAAATGTTACCAATACTACTTACACCATAAATAAAACGTTTAAACCTACAATTTTGGTTGCTTTTTAACAATCTTAAATATAAGCAATTTTTTTTTTTCGAATATCCGTCCAAATTTTCTACCATTCTTTGCCCTTTACATGTACTTTTAATTCAAATATATTTCAACCTATTCTATAAGACTGAGTTAATTTTAATTTTTTTTTTTTTTGTATTCATGATTTATTATTTTTCATTTGATCATTGCTTTTGGAACCGCTCTAGTTAATTAACAAATTAATTACCGAAAAATATATAAAAATAATATAATACACTGCTACAAAATATTGTTTTTATATTTATATCATTCCACAAAATATTACTAATGATATGATTCCAATTTTGTATTTAGTATTACCTCATTTGATTAAAAAAAAAATATTATTTTAGATTATAATTGTAAGTACCTAATACATAAATATTATGTACTTCTATGTATTTTTTCAATAATAATTAATTTTACTATAGTGGTAACAAATTTTTATTTGCACATTAAACTGAAATTGTATGTACCTCTTCTCATTTGAAATCTGTATTTATGGTACGTGTTATGTATATTTTTGTTGATTTTGTTATTCATTTTTATTGTATATTTTGTATTATATTACTAGTCTTCAATTTTATTTATGCTTTGTTTTTCTTATTTTCAAATTTTAATTTATTACTGTATATCTTTTATCCGGTAAAATATATGTGTGTAATTTTATAAGCATGAAATTGTATTCTTGAAATTAATTTTGTGACCATTATAAATCGCCAGCTTTATCTAAAATTTCTTATTAAAATTGAATTCTGAAATTAATTTCCCGATAAATAAACCCTTGATTAAAATGTATTTCATAAGTCAAATGGTTTGTTGATGGGCGTCTTTCGAGAAAATGACTGTAATTTATTTTAAATCTATACAATATGTGAAAAATAAAATAAAATATGAATTTTTTTTCTGTAGAAATAATTGTCTTTTTTAGATAATACATTTTAATAATCAAAACGGGGTAGTTGTATTTTTCATTACAGTTTTATTAATTTTTAATTTTGAATGTTTGATTGATAAGTTTCAATAATAAAAAAAAAAAAAATTTCAACAATTCTTCGGTGAATTAATAATGATAAAATCGTTTTTTTTCTCTACCGTTCAAACCAAAAACTATATTGATTTCACTATAATATTGTTATGTGTTTTTGAACAGATGCATCATGGTCGATTACTTTTGAAAAAAAAATTAAATAAAAATTAGACAAGTCATTTAGTGAATGATTTTGGTGGGATTACCAATTATCGTTCATTGCCAATCGTTTAATTACGAGCAACGGTGACTTTCTTATTAACTTGTAATTAAAATAATTTTCTCTCTACCTATCTATACATTTTTCGTCGATGTTAATGGCTATGCAACTGCCCTATCTATCTATATATGTATATGTTTAATATGTTTATGGCATTTGATTTGTTGTGCCCTTTTAATTTAATTTAGGTTCCTATAGTGTAAGAACGTATTGTTAAATAATTACTCTTTTGTCCTGTCCAAGTATAATAATATTATGTAAATAATAAACAATTATATATATATATATATTATTTTGTACATACATATATTTATGTATATGTATAAATTCTGATATATGTGTATAAATTTAATAATTAAAACAATTATATATATATATATACATACATATATGATATTATTTGTACTGCGTGTTTTTGTGTACTGTTTGTGATCGTGTCTAAATAAATTATTAAATAATTGCACACGTAATAATTTTTTTATATATATTTATACATATATAAATATAAATAACTATAATAATAATTATAATAATATACAATTGTGATTGGATAAAACGGAAACGGAACCGCTGCGGTGAAGATTTAATAATGTAATAAATACACACACATATACACATAATAATCATGTACTACCTTATATATGTGTATCAACTATCAATAGTTAATAATATTATTTGTAATCATTTGTATGTGCGATATTGAATATTATAAAAAAAAAAAAATTAAAAAAATATGAGTGATAAAAATGAATTATTGTTTATGGTGAATTTGTTGTAAGAATTTGAGAGAGAAAAAAAAAATAAACGACAAAAAAAATATGAAAACATTTTAAAACAAAAATCAACAGTGTTCGAATTTTATTGTCAGAGAACCGTCGTCGTCCCGTCACGGTCGCGACGACGGTCCCTCGGCGTGTTCCTTTACGCGTACGTCATAATGTTTTATGATTTGAACGTGCGCTCCAAGAAATATTGTAACAACCGACCTGGGCCAAGAGTCTCGTATTGATTAGCCGTAATAATGTAATTATTTCGTTGTAATTATACAAACGCGGTACTGATCACGCGCGCCACACACCGCCGACCGACGGTTTCTCGTGGATAAGAGACCAGCAGCCGAGCTCTGAGCGGTTCTCTCCGACGACGTCGCCTCGCACGCACGCATCGTTGTGTGTTTGGGTAAATTAGTTTTTCCGAAAGGATCGTGCGTGTGCGGCCGACAACCAGTTTTGTTTGTTTCGTATCGTTTTTATTATTATTATTTTTTTTTTTTTTCGTCGCGTTTAACAACAATTATTATATTATAAATGCACGCAAACGAAAAATGCGCGCTCAAGTTTTTTTTTCTCGTCATCGTCATCATCGTCGCGTAACTTCCCGTGGACGTACGTGCGATGAGTTGGAGTAGCCACAGTGGACCGTAGCCGGAAGGAGGTTTTCTCGGCCGAGTGCTGCCAGAAGATTAGTTTGAAGAGACGTGCGGCTCGTTTGTTCGTCGTGGGCGTGTTGTGTTCCCTCGTATTCGACGATCGTAATAAAGAGATAAAATAATTTCTGGACGAAAACCTCTCGGCGGGACGACCTTTACGTATCCTCCTTAAGGACATAACAATACGTATACTAACAATGGGCACACACGGACGGTGTTGTGTATTGTAGATCGTATGTAGTCCGACGAATAAATTCTTAAGCGTACGTTTTAAATGCACGCGTTCGATCATGTTGTGCCCACTAGTGCATAACTGCTGCTATCTTACCGGTCGACGACAGAACGCTGTTTCGCGTATTTTTATACTGTTATGACCGATAAAATTTACCATTCATCGCGTTCTACTTTTATACGGTTTTGGTAATTGCAAATGATTAAAACGACTGTCATGTCGTTGTTTTACGGTAGGTAAGTATAATATTGTACTACTGTGTACATTTTGTTTTTCTATTGTTTCAGCATTCCATTCATCGAGATGTTGGCCCGTTAACGTTTACGAAATATTTCCAATACCTTAATTGTTTATCAATCTTGTCCATAAATCTATTCAAACGTTTATTAGTTTATTCATTACACTAAAATATTACTTTTCGCACTCCATTGCTTGATAAACAAAAGACTTCATTCAATTTTTTTCCTAATCTTGTACATTTGTGTACCACTTAAGTATTGAAGTCTATTAATCGCTCGACTTTCATCGGATTGAAGACGGTAGCATAATCCGCTTTTGGTTTTGGTCTTATACCATGTGCTTACTGATTTGTTTAAGACCGTAGATATTTATCGAAGATAAATAATTATAATCTTCGCATTAATCACTTTCAAGTTGTAAATATTGTTTGTTCGTCATTAGTAGGGCCCGGATTTTTATGCAATAAAAATTTATAAAATGTGTAGATTCCTGTCATAAATATGCAAAATGATTTTTTTTTTAAAAATTAACAATATGTTATGTATAACAATTGTTTATTAAAAAAAAAATGCAAAATAACATTTTTAATGACATTGTGTAAGTATAAAAGTATTATAAATTAATTAAATTATTATTATTGGACGAGTAGGTACCAGAATGAAGTAATAAATATGGATTTCAAGTTTTCGAATTGAAAACTCTTACGATCATCTTGAAGCATACTTTTGTATTTGGAAAAACTTCTTTTTAGAAGATTGATTTCAAAGATACAATTGGTCCATATTTAAAACTCGATAAATTTTCAACTGACAGTTCCTCGTCTTCATTACATTCAGTTACCTCGCCGTGAATTATACCATCGATTTTTTTCAATGTAGAATATCCACGATTTTTGGACAACACATTTGTAAGTTTAGATCTAGCGAAATCTATCCCTAGCGATCCTTCGAATTTAATTTTAATATTTTTTATGAGCAATAAGCTATCTCTTAAAGTAACATTCGATTTCTCTAGTTCTGTCATTGTATCTATTAAACATTGAAAGTGTGTTGTAATGACGGCAAGTTCATTTTTTAACTTTTTATTATGAAATATCCAATATTTGTCGTCATTCGTCGGCCGTCGATAACGATTGACAATTGTTTATCAATGGGTTATTTACAATCGACAGTAGGTATCTTTACAGACGTAAATTATACGAATTGTAGAATTTGCAAAATTTATGCAACTATCAAGAAATATGCATTTTCATTCAAATACGCGAAAATATGCAAAAAAAAAAATTAACCCTAGACTCAATAAATTACGAAACGTCGACATTTATAATCAAAATTATTTTAGGTGAATTGTAGAAGAATATGCATTTGCATAAAAATCCGGGCCCTAGTCATTAGTAATGACATATGACTCATTGCGTTAAGGTTAAAAACTTTTTGTACGGACTATAATGTTGATTATTATTCGGTAAGCTTCTTATTACTAAACTATTGGTTGTTTTCAATAGCGCTCTGTAGGACGTGAAACTGGCGTTTCTATTTGACGGTTTTCATGCTCAACATTATACTATGATCGTGTGTTTTGTTAACTATCTAAGGTAAGGCAACCATAATAAATAACAATACTGTTACACGACATACCGCAAAACGAGATCGCGGTGTACTCCCGCATGATTTTCGATTATTGT